ATATTGTCAGAAAGTTTCTGATTAAGAGAAGATTCAAAATGATACGCAGCAAGCATTATTTGTAATGCTCGTTATTTTGCTCTTTAATATTAAAAAAAATTTGTTAAAAATCTGACAGTATTATTTAATGTTCCTTCAAACATAAAAGAGTCCTATATAAAATTTTGATAAAGTTACGGCCCGCCATTTGACTGGTGTTTTGAATTGCTGCCCACAGCCACATGTAATTTGGAAACCCCTGATATATAGTAAAAAATACGATTTTAGATTATTTATTAAATCTATTCAAATCACATGAAATGAAAAGGAAGGGGAAATCGGTCACATTCTCGCCACTTAGTAGTTTATTCATTACATTCGCCCACAGTAATACACTACTTTATGGCATATTCACTCTGCTATGTTAAAGAAAATTTACATTTAAGATGATACATTTTTATAAAGAAAAAGTAGTGCTCGATTTGTTTTAAAAAAGTATTTTAACTTTAATATAAGTGTTATTTCCTTTAATATTTACATCATACAAACACGGTTATCAGTGAAGGTATACATATAGACCTATCCTCTTAGACCAGGGGTGTCAAACTCAAAAGCTAACTTGGGCCAAATAAACAATGCTTAACTTTAGGTGGGCCGCAAAAAAAATCAATGTTCATCGAAACAAATATTTTTATTTTGAATAGTACATTGTAATAAACATATATAAAGTTAAATTATTGTTTACGTCCCGATACTTGCCATCTCTTCTCTGCTACTATCTTAACTATTTTGGTGAGAAATTTTATTGGCCGAGACTACTTTCAAAATTGACCCAACGTGAGCGTTATTAATACGGTTTCGGACAGGAGATTTATTTCCATTCTTAACAGAAAATAATTGCTCTCACACATAAGTACTTAATTAAAATAATTCTATAATACTAAATAATTTCATATGCGAATTTTCGAGTATTTTCAAATCTTGCGGTAAATATTCGTAAAATTAGAGCATACCCACTTCAATGAATTTTGCCTTCAAATTTGAGTCGTACTGAATCTCAATCACTTCCATTTGCATATAACTGGGTACTGAGTCTATATTTATTGAAAAAATCGAAGAAAACAAACAAAATTTGTCTTCTAAAGAAATAAAATCCTTAAACCTTGTTTCAAAATCTGTTCTAAGATTTTCTGCTTACTTTTGTTACAATGCAGTATCATCTTAACTAGATCTGTTCTTGTTGCACGTTGGGAAGTGCGTTAAATCTTTCAGTTGCCTTTCCCAGAGAAATAGTTTATATTTGAATACTTTAATTATGTCAAACATGTTTGTAATGATCTGATCCTTGCCTTGTAACAATAAATTATAAATCGGATAAGTGTTGGGTTATATCAACCATAAAAGATAAATCTTGCAACCATATTTAATCGGAGAACAAGCTCGTATCTTGATTTTTAGTATGTAAAAACTTACATATTTCTTCTTTCGAATCCCAGATATGTTTGAGAACCATGGGGCAAGATAATCAACTTACCTCGCTGTAGTAAAACCTGAGTATGTACTATTAATTGATAGCTTAATGTGAAACGGTCTCCATTTCAGCCAATTAGAATTTTACATTTTCGCTCGTACAATTTAAAATAATCCGTACAGTTTATAAATAAAGTATATTATAATTTTATATGCTGGTTTCGTTTCTAATTCATATTTCCAAATTATTTTTACTTTGCCTCGGATATATTGACTGGGCCACAAAAATTTTCACCTCGGGCCGCATGCGGCCCGCGAGTTTGACACCCCTGTCTTAGACCCTCTGAAACATTTACCGTCTAAAAGATTGACATTCTCTTCTATTTAATTTGGCAAAAAATCAACAAATAATATAGATATATAATATTTTCATTTAACAGTTTCACAATTCAAGATCACAAACAACTAAGCTGGAAAGCTCTACTTTGCTGGACGCTATTTTAACTGGGAGCGGTGGCGGTAAAATAAGTATACTAACAGATGCATCTGATAGAAAATATTTAGATCCGAAAAAAGAAAATTGTCGTTTAAGTAAGATGGCTCTGGCTGTTATGTATGTTTCATAGTGACAGCTGGTTTTGGTGGTTTCAGAGGTTAGACATCTGTCAGTAATATTCAATTCATATCGCTTTGAGTTTCATACAAAAACCCTATTTTTTACTTTATTGAATGTGTCAAATTCTGTGGTAACTAAGCAGCATTTGCGGGAGGTTTTATGTTTCTGCTTTAATTGGAAGAAAAGTGCTGCTGAAGAGCATCGAATGCTTGTAAAAGTTTATGGTGACAATGCTCCAACTGATAAATCATGTAGGGAATGGTTTCGACGTTTCAAGAATGGTGAATGGTGTTACGAGCTGCTACAACCTGGAGATTCCATTACGGGCGATCAGTATAGGCTGCAATTGATTCGTTTAAGCCGTGTATTACGAGAAAAACAGCAGCAATACGAGCAAAGATATGACGAAGTTATTCTTCTGAATGATAACGGTAGGTCTCATGTCGCAAAAAATTATCTGGAAACGCTAAAGTGGGATATTTTACCGAAACCGCCGTATTCGCCGGACATTGCTCCTTCAGATTACAGGTTGTTCCGACGGTTACCGCATGATTTGGCAGGTCACCGGTTCACGTCTTTCTCAAAAATCAAAAATTGGCTCATAACTTGGATCGCCTCAGAAGACGAGACATTTTTTCGAGATGGAATTCGAAAATTGCCAGAGAGGTGGAAAAAAGTAGTAGCCAGCGATGGACAATATTTTTATAATCAGTTAATTCATTTTGTTCTGAAATAAATGCATTTTTGACCACAAAAAAAAACTGACTGAACTAATTTGTACTCCCAATAAATGAGGAATCATTTAATACCCAGAAAGTCCACAGCATACCTTTAACTAAATTTGAAGTTATATTTCCGCAACAGACTCACACGGATGTCAGAGTTTAAAAATTTCGTGAGTTTAAAAATCCCTTTAAGAAAAAATGAAAAGGTTAACTTTGAAAATAAAAATAAAATAACTTTATGATGGATAAAAATCAAAATCTTAGGATGATTCAAGATCGGCTACAAAAAGTAGAAATATGGGGAAAAACACAAAAAAATTTATAATTACAAATCTAATTAAGTCGAAAATTGGGTTTTGTAATTTGTTTACAGCTGTACTCATTTAACTCCCAAGTTGAATATCATTTTTTTAGTACCTACAGTTTACTCGCAAATCCGGTATGCATACATATATATGCACTCCCTTCACAAATTCTTCATTTCATTACATGTATAGATTAGATGACTACCCTTTCTCTGTAGGAGTTAAAAAAGAAATTATAAATAATCAATGAATCAGCATTAAAACTTCTGATCTATCTTTACGGGCTACTATTTGCCATGATCGGATCCCAACACTTTGCCGACCGATTGGGAAGCCTGTTTTGAAAAACTATCAGAACCAGTAAGTAGGTACTTTATCAGGGGTGATGGTGAGCTCTGACTCAACAACCTGAAAATTTCTGGAGTAAAGTCATTAACAACGGATTTCAAAACATTAATGTCTTTATAAATTTAAATCATTGATATTTTAAAAACATGAAATTCTAAATAACTTATATGCAGCATAATTTAAATTAATAATTATGTATAAGTTTACTTCTTTGTCTAATCACATTTATTATTCTAAAAGAAAAAATATTTACAAATGAAAGTGATGCCATGTTTAAATTCTAGTTCTAATATTTCTCAATAAAATATATAAGAATTTTAAAAAATAAATGCGATCGATTATTTCCTGAAACTTTTAGACCTTGGATATCCGGAAACTTCCAGCTCGCAGTTAGAGAAAAATCAGGAAATCCAGATTTTTTCTGGAGTACAATCATCTCTGCTTTATTTACGTCACACTAAAGCTGCACTATGAGCTATTGGTGACGGAAACACCCCTAAGGATGATCAGAAGACATGCCATTGCAATTTTGATCCTCTGCAGAGGGGGATAGCTCACCTGCTTTGGTAGTCTGAAGACTTGCAAAGTCGAGCACTTAACGATAGTATAGTTTAACAAGGACCGATACTGCACACCCTTGGTCTTGGCGCAGACAGATCAAAGTGGTCACCTACCCATTTACTGACCACAGTCAATGACGATTCACTTCGGAATTCTACTGGTTGGTCTTTACAATGAACCTACTGTGGGACCTATCAGGACCGACCGATAATTCAATGTGCAATGTTTGTACCAGTTATTTTTATTTTTTAATTTCAAAAATGACATATTTTATCTGTCTTTTTTTTTCTTTTTTGCTCATGTACATAAACCGAAAAGAAATTCAATACAAATCTAGAATAAGCTCCAAGACAGTGAATTTGAATTTAAGTGTCTGACATAATATCTAATGAGATGTTGTGATCGACAATAATGACAATAGCAATACAATGAAGAAAAAAATTTGAATCTAGAATTAGATTTAAATAAGATTATTATCTGTTGTTTTATCATAATATCATTTTTCATATTAAATATTTTAAAATTAAAATAGTATTTTGTTCACAATTATTTTTATATACTTTATCTAGAAAGAGGGGGTTCTGCTGAAAGACGGTTGATGATTTAGGGTTCAATAGCTGAAAAAAAATTGGGAATTGCTGCTATAGATAGACAAATTAATGTATAAATTTGTTCTTAAATAAAGTTTATATAATTACACGTACAATCAGTTAAGAGAAGTTCTTTAGATAAACAAATTAATGTATTAAATCTGATCATAAATATAGCTTACATCAAATGCATAATCAGTAATCCCATTAAATATACAAGAAAACCAGAGCTGAATTAAAGGTCAAAACCTAAACAGTTAAGTAAAGAAAACGAAATAGCATAAAAAATTTAAATATAGAATATAATCTAGAGGAGGAGGACACCAGAGATTAAGAGGATTTCATACAGCATACATATATATAAATGCAAAGATTAAGATAGTAAACATGCAACTAAATTTATTACCTTTCCTAGATCTTTTTTTTACAGGTTGCTTATTTCGACCTGAAAATTTTAAAGCAACAAAATGCATAAGAAGCAAAAACAAAGCATGTGTGCATTAATCATAACAAAAATCATGCAGATGCAGCTTAGTTGCCAACTACTTATCCTAAACATTGCATTGCATCAATTGCTTTTGGTATACTTTCTTTGTTATTTCTAACTGAATTTAGATGTTAAAGACCATATTAAAATGAAAAATTTTAATATTTGAAAAAATCTTCTTGATATTTTAAACAATACAGATATGCTTACTGAGAAGTCCTTCGGTTAATTTATTCTATTAGTAAATAACTTAATAAACCATGTTTTCAAAATGTTTTTAACAAAATATAAAATTATTAAAAATTAAATTTTAAATAAAAAAAGAAATGATAAAAAATTAAATTTAAATTAAATAAAACAAATTAAATTTTAAAAATAAGAAATTTAATTAATTTTCCAAAATTTAATTTTGATTTAAAATTAAATGATTTAAGAAATGAGAGACTAAAATTATTGTTCAATTAACTTCTACAAAATACTAAAATTAAAATAAATATAAAATTGCAAATTTCACTTACATTTTAATAAACATAAAGCTATAACTTTGTGCTGCAAAGTATAAAGCTGGTTTATATTACTTTCAAACTATTTTTTCAAAAAAAAAAAATTCAAACAAATAAATAAAAACCTTATAAGTTGGCAACTAAGTTGGAAAGATAGAATTTTCAGTAGAGTGCAAAACATAACCAAACCAAAGCAAAAAAAAAAAAAAAAAAAAAAAAAAAAAAAAAAAAAAAAAAAAAAAATTAACAATAATAAACATTGAGGAGAAAGAGATATCACATAAAAGCAAAGTACCTAATAATTAACAAGCATTGACAAGCGAGAAATAGCAAACACCAGATGTTAAATCTCACAAGCATGGGTAGATATTTAAAAGCAAAGGAAAAACCATTACCACATAAAATGGATTGATTAGATTAGGTTTTCCTAAACTTCAGTTATAACATTTCAAATATTGTAAAATACAGAAATATTAGTATCTATGTTAGCCAGGTGCAGGCAAAAAGTTTCCAAAAATATTTTTTCATTTATTTCTCATTCTCAGACACTAAAAAATCAAATATAATAAATAAAATTTCCTTATACCTGGCTAATTCTGAACTACCTTATGATCATACTTTTTGTTTTTCTAAATTAAAAACCAGCATAATTTAATTTAAACTACACAGGGGAGTTTTATTTAAACTACAATCTGCAAACTCCTAATATTTATAAAAGACATAAAATTCAGCAAACATTTTATTTTATATCACTTAGTAAAAAACTTACTTCAAAAAAATTTTCTTAATTAGTATTAAATAAAAAGAAATTTTTATTTTCTTTCTAAGCTCAAAGAATGTACTGTCAGACTACCTTAGAAAACGAAGTTAGAGACAGTAACAATTTGCTTCTTAAACCAAATGCAGCTTTAATAAAAAAATTATATGCTATAAACAAAATAAAGCAACAAAAAAAAAGGTTTAAATCAACTTACTTGCTGTAAAACTTAACATTGATTAGAAAGATTCTTTAAATTTTTTTTTCTTCCAAAATTGAACCTTTTTTTTTTTGGTAAAAAATTTTGGTAATAAAACCTATTAATTGCAAAGCAGTTTTCAGTTTATCCAAGCATTCAGATGTTAAAGGCAGTGGATCAATCCTTCTTCTCCTATCACTGAAAAATTCTGCATTTTACACAGCATATATGCAGACATAAAAACAGTGGTTCTGCTACATGGTGACATTGTAGCAGAATCTTACCCAATTCCTGCAAAAAGATTTTTTCTTTGGAAAGTAACCATGTAGGAGATTTTTTTCTTTGGTAAGTAAAAATACTTTATTTTCTTTTCTGAAATTTTTTTTTGAAAGATTTTACCTTTTCTTAGAATTATATTCAAAGGATGCCTTTGCTATTGATTTTTACATAGTTTTTAAATTCCAATATTTTTAATATGATATTATTTGTATCCGTAGCATATATCCATTGGTGGAAGAAATAAAAACAGAGGGCTGTATAGAATAGAATTGTGGGATAAGCCAGGACGAACTAAGTTATGTACAGCTTTAGAAGAAGAGAAGATTATCTAAACAGAATCTTGAAAAGATAACACGGATCTAGTAACCTCTTTATGAACAGTCCAATTCGCATACATTCGCTGTCTGTCTTTTTTACAGTATTTACTGATATGGATTTCACTATTTTTTATTTTTTTTAATTTGAAGATGATTTACGAAATGCAAAAAAGGAAATAATTAGTGTCTTCCCCCTACAAAAGGAAAGAATATTGCCCATATTATTAGCATAAAAAAAATTAACATATTTAATTAAAATAATTTTATTACTTTATTAGAAAAGTTTGATTTTGATATTAGCACTAGAGAGGCATGTTGCAGAAAGCCGAAAAAATTATGCCACTAGGATAGGTATTATACATTAACTATTTAATGGTTTGCATGTAAACATTATTCGTAAATTATTGCAGATAACTGATTTATGGCAAAATATATTAATGTTCTAACATTATATATGTTATTTTTCTACATATGTTTGTTGAACAAACACAAGTAAAAGAGCATTTTAAAACTAGTTACATTGGATTAATGGCTTTTAAATTGGTATTTTATCATTCAACTAAATAATACCAAAATTTTCCTTTCGAAATCTGAAATCTCCATAAATCAGGGCTCAGTGAAATTTAGTGGGAAGATTTCCATATCATGATCTGTGGCAGAATAATTGTCAAAACTCGGCCACTTTTGAGCAGCGGCCGCAAGAAACTTAAAAAAATGAACCTACTGTG